ATGCAGTCGTGTGGAACAAGCGATGGAGAGGACAGAAGGGTTAACAAAACAATACGGGCCTAGAAAAGGGAGATCAAGCTAGACGCTGCTCAATATGTAGTTTACTTAGACCAGAAGGCAATACAAGAAAGATATGGAAAAGGGAAAGGAAAGTGTATTGTCTGTTGTCATTCTAGATGTCAAGAGCTCTTTCATTTCGGCGAGATGGAATTACATCCAAAGAGCTCTGCAGAATATGAGTGCCACAGTATCTGTTTAGATTATTGTCAACTACTTTACAGGAAGAACGCTGTTTTACCGCACGGGGAATGGTCGATAGATCCATAGTTACTAGAGGCGGTCCACAGGGCTCCGTCTTGGGCACCCTGCTGTGGAACAGAAGGTGGAACGACTGCGTTCTCAGAATAGAGTTGGGTGAAAGAAAGAGAGAGCAGAACAACGCCAGCTGCGCTTTGCTAATATTTATATTATAGGTGAAATATTATGTATTATCTTTACCTGCCTGTATTATAATATAGATATAATATTTGTTTTAACAAATTCAATAATATATTCAAATCACCATTAGTATAAATATTAATGATGTGAGAGATGTCAAAAAAATTACAATTGTGTAATTTTTGAAAAAACAAAATAGAGCCAAATTGTATTTGTCATCTTTTACAAAACATTTTGCACTATCTCTATGTGTATATATAGGGTTGACAGGAGCTAATCTACTTTTTAATTTATCATAGACAGAAATGAGGACTGCATGTACACTTGACATTTGAAATATTCCTGATAAGAATGACTACATCTCTCCCTCGCGCTCTCTCTTATGTGTGTATTAATAATTTTTGTTATAGATGAAATATAGGAATTACCTCAACAATACAGTCACAAATTGTCATTTATAAAATCCATGTTTAATGTTCTTCTTTAGCATTCTAAAATCTGGAATGTCAGAAACGAATAAATGTGTAAAACAATATTATGTGTAAAAAATTAATTTTTCTTTGCATATTAAGAACTATTTTGTTGCATATGGTCTTGAATAACCCCTAGTGGTTTGAATCCCTGCATGCAAGTTATTATAAATCTTCTACAATATAGCATATCTTCCAATCAAATCAGCTGAAAAGAAAGAACTTTTGAACATTTCATTTACTTCAGTACAGAGTTAAATGAAAGATTTCAAACTGGAGATTAGCTTTCTGTTTTATGCTTGATTTTTAAGGAACGAGTAGTAGAGAAGTTATTTTCATTTATTTTCTACTTTAAAAATTCTAGAAGAGAATAATAATTTAGAATAATGTGAATGTTTATTTTCAAACAAGATATAGGTCTACCGATGAAACAATATCATCTGACATCAGTGATATTTTCATTGTAATATTTGAGATAGTTCCTGATCATGTACGTTAAGACTTGACAATAATTGCTTAACTTGAAATAATTTTATTACTCAATGAAATGACCCTGTATTATATCACATGAAATAAAATAACATATAAATCTTCAGGTATTACTTTCTGAACAATTAAAAAATTGGAAGTATGAAAAAAACTTCAAAATATGTTGCATCTTAAGGTGAACCTTAAATTGCAATTGCAATTTAATAAAAGTTATGTAGCATATTTTGCTCTCTAGCAAATTTTGTGTGGATGCTCCAAAATTAACAAAATGTCACTTAAAAATATGTTATGCTTATATTATTGAAATCCCTTTGGCATAATATTCTTTCACCTTTTATAGCTTTGATGTTGAGGCCAGTAATATAATGAACTACACGTTTCTGAAACTTAACCAGATTGATTGATCATGAAGATTGTTGAATTTGACGATATTGATGACTTCGCCCCATGCACTTGATCATATTTGGAACGTTTATTAGAATAATTATGATTTTTTTTTCTCTCTTCTAATTTAATATGAAGGAGGAAATGTTAAGTTGATGTTTCTCTGATGTACAGGAAGGAGCATCAGTACTTGTTCATGGATCTGAGGGAACAGATGCAACTTTGCTGGTGACTTCGCTGGCACAAGTGATTCTCAATCCAGATTGTCGAACTGTTCGAGGGTATGTATTTCATAGGATTATTTTGTCAAGAATTCATAATTCTAATTTCTCAATTGTTGTGGAAATCTGCAGTGCTAACCAAAAATATTTTTAGGTAGTTCTAAGCAAGTAGTGAAACTGAACATAAAATGAGGGTCTATTTATTGTAATTTTAAATGTTTAATAATCAATCATAATTTAACATATAATTTTTATTCTGATAAGTCAAGAATAGTAATGGACAGCCATTGTGTGACTGAAAACAACTTTTTTTTTATGGTGTATTGGTTTTTCAATTGCCAACCGACCCCAAATGGCTTCCGTTATAATTAAGAATTGTGTTTTGATGTATTTGCGTTGTTTTGATGTTTTCAGATGCATTTTAGGTCATTTTTTTCTTTCTTATATTTAAGACATTTTTGGGCACTTGAAAGGTTTTTTAGATCATAGTGCAGTTTTCTTACATTTTCTTACTACTTCCTTGGCCAGTTCTAAGAGGGTGAGAGATCTCGAAGTTCTTAAAACAAATCAATCGTTATTAAATTCAGAGTATGATAGTGGTAGAGAACAGTAGAGAAACTCTTATGACTATTGAATGTATAGTAGTTTAGGAGCTTTTAATTGATCCAGAAATGGAAGATAAATTTTCATATATAAAAGCAAATTATGGATCCCTCCAATTCGCTTTAATATCTTTGAAAGTATCTGATGTTAGACGTCTTCATAAAATTGCTCTCTGCAAAAAATTTGAGGATAACATGTAGGCAATTGCTGGTAAAATGGTAACAAAAACAGAGAGAGAAAATACGGACCTAATTCTGGACAAAAATGTGGCGAGGCACACTGTGTTTTATTAGGGCTTTTTTTGGGGAGAAACTTTCATTTTAAGAAAATAATTCTGAGTTAAGAGAGAAGTAATATATGATTTTTTAATTTTTCTGTTGTTTCATTGTTTTTGATTCTAAACTGAGCTTTATTTCATTCACTTGATTTTTAAACATTCTATTCACAGTAAATAGTTAATGGCTTAACTGAAGAAAATAATATAAGTTTGCAGAGTAAAAATCAAAGTGAACTTTACATCATTTTAAGAGGGTATGTTTCCAAGAACTTTAAGGCATAAATGCATTATCTTTGGATCATTAGTAACCAGTTTTTTTGTCATCAAAATCCTAGCCTGTCTTACAATTCTGGATCAACATAAATCAAAAGATTTCATTAGAAATTAAACTAGACACCTAATGGAAGAAAGAGATACAGCATGGGCTACATTACATTTACAATTTGTGTTTTAGAAGAATGTAATGTGATACCATGGTTTACACATAACTAGATGTAAATGCTGTAATGTACAAATGAATTAGCATTGACACACGTTCCTTAATATAATTTGAAATAGAGAAAAAGTTACCTTCTCTCCTTCAAAAAAGTCAGTGATCTCAATTTTAATCAAAATTCTGATTATGACACTGAATGGGATATTCATTTGAATGAAGGAACAATGTTTTTGCAAAAACATTAGTTCATAAAGATACTTTTCTGAACCATTGGGGTTTGAGGATGACACACACTCATCTAATGTTTTTAAGAGTTACGTAAAAAGATAATTATAATGCTACGTTCGGCACTTCTAATTTTACCACTATTATGTGGAAACCTTTCTTCATCAAGCTCCTTGAATCGCAGCATACTGTGTCTGTTATTTAGTATTTTGTAAAACATACTCAATAAATAAAATTGTCTTTCTTCTTACAAACTTAGTCATGTTTAGTGAAGCTGGTCTATTTATCTGAATGTTATTCAAGAGCATTCATTGCCAAAGCAATTTTATTTATAAAGTTTAATAACCTTTTCTTAAAAATATTTAATTTTATGTGGGCATACATACACAACTAGGAAGCAAATTATGATGTAAGGAAATGCTTCTTTTGCACAGACTTGAAGCACTGGTGGAGAGGGAGTGGTTGCAAGCCGGCCATCCCTTCCCTGTGCGTCATGCTCGTTCCTGTTACGCTTCAAGTGGAAGCCGTGGCAAGGCCCAGGCACCCACGTTTTTACTTTTCTTGGACTGTGTCAATCAGATCCATCAACAGTTCCCATGCAGTTTTGAGTTCTCAACTCACCTGCTTATCCTCCTTTTTGAACATTCTTATTCCTCTCAATTCGGTAAGTTTTATTTTATTTTGTAGTGTTTATGTGCATTTCTTTTTAATTACATTCAAAAATCTTTCACCAAGATAAGATTTTACTAATTTTCGTGACTTATGCCCTCTGATCATAAGCCCTAATTAGTTAATACCTACTTAATATTAAGTAGGTATTATTAAAAAAGTAAAGTGATGCTAAGCAGTTAATAAATTTACAAAATAAAAATTGATTACATTGAAAATAACTTTTATAATCAATGAAGACTATCTACTAATTTATTTCATTAATATGAAATTGATTTGTTGTTTTTCCTTCATTCCTGGCTACTACTTACCACACACTGTGAGAAGATATCACTGCTGTATTGGGCATTCAGTATTTTCATTTTATTGTAGTTTTTGTATGTTGTAGGTACATTCCAGGGTACATGTGAAGCTGACAGAGTTCGCCTGCAACTTGCCCAAAAAACAGTTAGTTTGTGGTCCCATCTTAATAGACCTGATGTACTGCAATCATTCTTAAACCCTATGTACGATCCTAATAACAGGGTTATTTGGCCATCAGTTGCACCAATGAGTCTAGTAAGTTATCTCCTGATATTCAAGCTTCTTTAGAATTTGAAATGTATGTTCCAAGTAATGAAAATATGTAAAAAATGAGAAAAATTTAGCCATGTAGTCATTAGGGATTCTAAAAAGAAGTTCTGGAAAGACAGTTTCAGAACCTATATCTTTCATGAATAATTAATTGTAAGTGTAATTTACTTGCATTAATTGCCAGAGATCGTTAATTGGTTATTGTTCATTTTCAGACCCTGTGGTCTGAGTTGTTTCTACGTTGGGTGGTGGACCAGTCACCACAGCGCCAAGCATGGCGCACCATCACAGCTCTCCGTGAACGAGACAAGGAGCTGCGCCTAAAAGCCACAAGGCTGCGTCGTCAGTTGGCTGAACTGGAGCGTGAAGCGGTGGAAGCGGGAGTGCTGGCTCCAGCAGCTGTGCTGCCGGCATCTCCTACACCTGGTGCTGACCTGCTACCTGCTCCTGTGCCGGCAGAGGTGGCCTGAGAGGGGCGGTGCGCAGGTGCCTGTTGCCTGCGCTGGTACCGGCAGGAGATCTCCGACAACTACATCAGCATTGCTATGATCCCCGTTCAGAACAGCAGGTACTAAGCACTCTGGCCAGGCCATGGTACCGGTCGGTGTTTTTGACCTTCCCCACCCACAGCCTGCTCCCTGCCCCTTCTTTAGTTTCAGAGGTACCAGTTGCTAGGCATGCATGGCGCTCGCATTGCAATCACATTCCAGTCCCCTGTGTTGTGTCCTATTTCCCTGCTGTACATGACTTCTTTTGTATCAGAAGTCTTTGTTGTGTGTGAATACAACCCATTTTGTGTTGGATTAGGGGTACCAGAGCCAGAGAATGTCGGGGGTAAGTTTTCAGATAAAGAGATCTCTACAAGCGGTTCAAAAACTCACAATATTTGGTTTTACAAAGCCTTGGATTTTGGAGGCAAAACTGAATTACAGCTGCTATGTGTAGCTAGATAATAATAAAACAAAGTACATGATTTGAAAAGAGAAATATTTAATAAAGAAACGCTGGACAGTGAAATAAAATGCACAACTCAAGACTATCATTTAAAAGTTCTTGAGGAGAACATGTGCTTATGTCTTATAACTACAGTTTTTAAGCTACAATTCAAAAGCTACAAATTGAAGTTGCTTAATCTATAGATTACGGTTACGGTTTTATGCTGCATTCTTAAAGTTATAAAATTTGGGCACTCTCTGACTCTTATAGTTATATCTGAAGTTATCTTTTCCCCTCTTATCTGAAAACCCAGCCCCATGAGTGAGCTACCTTCTCCTCCTGACTTGACCATTTTCCTCTCTGGTCTTGCAATAGGTTGAGAGAAGAAATTCAGGAACATTTTGAGTGCTTGTGTAAGGAAATGCACGCCTTTTAGAAGCAGCAAAAACCTCCCTTTGGCATCCTACAAACATAGTTAGCACATATCTCTAGTTTAAAAAACAGAAAATTTGAAGTACATAACCTATCTTCCCTTCAATTTTTTCAGTAGGGAACTGAAAAATAAACCTGCAAACGCAGACTATTGGAATATTCTATAAATTATAGTAATACCAATTGTTGGTGATAACCAAAGATCTGTAGTGTGATATCTCATTATATAGAATGCAAGTTGTGCACTTGCTTCATGTAAAAATTGCCTTGTTGAAATATTATTGAATGTAAAAAGTTATCAAAAGAAATGGATTTTTATTTACATACCCCATGTTTTAGCATTTCATTCCCTTCCTTGCAAGTTAAGTTTGTATTTGACCACGAGTGCAGATATTTCTGGAAAATTCATTTTAATAATGGAACTACTACAGCACCTGAATCCCTGTTTGTTAAAATACTGTCTGCATAAATATATAAGAAATAATTCCATCAAGTGATAAATATGCAGAAAGATTTGTCTATGCCAAAAACCTGATTAAATCATACTAGGTCTGATGAGAATTTTCTGATGCTAAAGAAAGTTCAGTACATAGTGATAAATATGTAAAGAATGTAACAGTCACTTTGTTCTTTGAGGACATCAAAATAATGTTTTATAAACACAATTTGACAAATTCCTTACAAATTTGTCTAAAGGCAATCTTTAAGTTTGAAATTTTCAATAGGAGTGACAGATAATTTTGTGATAGTTGTAAGAATTAACTACTAGCTCCGTGTATCCTAATTTGGAATATTGAGAACTTTTGAAATTGGATTCCTCAGAACATTTCTCGTGATCCATGATAGTAAGTAGTTTTGAAAAGTATCAGGATATCAATAAAATTTAGGCTTCTTCAAAATGCATATTTTAAGTATAGAATGCATAATAGTGTGTTCTGGGCAAATTGAGAAGACTGTTCACTAAATAGTGTTGCAACTGCAAAAGTCATTTTAAAATTTGCTTTAAATAACTTTCAGTAATTTAAATTTGCAATTGTTTTGAAAAATCGTCTTGACATTAATTCAACTTATTAAGTAAACCATTATAAGACAAAAAAGGGGGAAGTTAATCTCAGTTTTTCTTCTACGATTTGTGAAACTGCTCTTAAATTTAAGGTTGGAACTTCTGCAGGTATTATATCAAATATTTTGTACCTAATTTGTTTTTCATGTTTGATATTACAAAGAAAAATTTTCTCATAGTGAATCAAGAGTTGAGACTGCAATTCTTCAGGGTTGGGAAGCATTTATTAGAAAGATTGCAGTTTTATTTAACCAATTAGGTTGCTGAAGTATGGATAACATAATTTACTGCTGCAGCTGTGATTAAATATTTTCAGTGATGGAAAAAGTACGCAAATAAAGGCAAACTTTGGGAATTGGGCTCAATTACAGTTACTCGTAACATATTGTACTCTACTACAATTATAAATTATTTTTTCAGCGTGTAATTAGTAAAATTACAAGTACACGTAGAAATGTATTGTTCATGAATGGATAGTTATGGCGAACTAATCTTCGTTCGGCGCGCTGAGCTGGACCCACAGAAATTCCCCTATGCTGTAGGTGGGGGTTCGCAACGAGCGTGGTAGTTTGCGAGCGAAAAGAACTAGACATTTAAAAATATGATTACATGCGACGTAACGATTACAACAAAGTAACGATTAAAATTTTATATGAAGGAGTAAATTACAAGTGTAAAGTACGTTCTGCTGAAAGACGATTACACGCTAAAGTTACTTACAAAGCAATTGTTACAAGTACGTAATTGAATTACTTTCACTCAATTTCTCCCTAACACGGAATATATTTCAAAATTAAGGATACGTTCTGCCTTGTGTATACAAGACCTGTAATTTTGGAGCTAGTAAATATTCGTAGTAATTCAATTTATGTAGCTATGTTGCTTAAAACATATTTAAACAGAAGTTATGTCTATGATGACTTTATTAAAAAGAGGGGAAAAATTAAGCGAGAAATTAACGATTTTGAGAACCTCAACTTGCAAATCTCTAAAACCAATTCTACGTATAGCCAACTACATAGGCTATTGAACTTTACTAGTTGACATAACACGTTAAATTTTGTTATTTTGGGATCTCACGAAATTTGTTTTTAGGGACTCCAGATTACAAGAAATCGCGCAATCTTTTCAATATTTTTGTTCCAACGAAACTTGTCGTTCTAAGTAAAAGAAACAATACATACCTAATACGTAAGTCACAGTTTACGTACAGAAAAATTCATTTCGTATGGTTTTCACATGGTCAGCTGACATGAAAGACAAATAAATTGTACGTAATTGAAAACTATTTTAAATGTTCTACCATTATGTAACACTATACTAATGCAGTGGCAAATCCAGTTCGCGTCAGCAATTTCAGCTCTGGCCTTGAATGTATAATTATATAAAATGTGTTTTAATTTTCCATCTCTTAATTCATCAACAATATAAAATAGCCGTTTTTGGAAAATTTTGTTTTCCCACTAGTTTCTTAAAGAGCATAATACACAATCGTCGGCCACGAGGTTATCTTACTTTTCCATTACACAGTCGGTCCTCATATAGCAACCCTCTAGCTACAGGAAACTGACATGCCTACAGATTGTTGCGTATACCTAAAAAGAATACAATTAATGTAAAGTTGAACAAAATTGTATACGTTTTATCAGAAAAAAATTTAATGTGATCAAATACAAGCGCAATCAAATTAATGTTAACGTAATTATTGTCACGTCAAATTAAGTTAGTGAAAAGTAAAATGTAGATAGGATATTGCAAAACTAGTTTGGTAGGGCATGTTAATTCGCAATGTTCTACAATTTATTGTTATCCAAATGACACTTCAACTTCATTCTAAACACTAATTTTCAGAGCGATTAAGCATCGAATTAAAGGAGAAACTGTTTTTGCGTGTTTATTTAGTAATATGTAACAGGCATTTTGTTTGATTTTTCCACGTCGAAAAGACTTCTGCAAATTTTGAATATTTTTCTGTGGGCCATTCTAAACATAAGAGCCTACAACAGAAAAAGACAACGCATTAGTTTAAATTTTTCTTTAGAAGCTCATACTTTTCATTAGTTGGTCGCTATGTTTAATCAAAAAGTCTAATCTTCAGTATTTACAAATACAGACAAATCAATGCTAAATTTGAAAATACATTACGTAAGCTCATCAAAGCCGAATATTTTAACCGCCCATTATTTCTTTTATATTTATTCAATTATGCCGCGTCGAGAGAATAGTCAGATAGAGAACGCTTGATCCCGTACTTTATACCTGCCGGTGTACCTTTGCAGACGCGGGCATCTTGACCAGATTTCAAATATTAAAGCGATACCCTGTTGAAGGCTACAGTGGATATTCCTTTGGTCAACCGTCACCGGAGAAATTCCCCTCAGGGTACCCTGAAAGAACGTCCCTATTGTAGGTACGGCGAGCAGGGCGGAGGGGAGCTGCAGGGGCTGGGGGTGGGGGCAGGAGCGAGAGGCGGTTCTCGGCGCTCGGCTATTGTGTAGGCGGCACGAGAAAAACCTCACCTCGTCGGCCCGCGCGGGAGGGTGGGAAGGCAGGTATACGATTTAACAACGGAGTTTCCTCCCTAGGGGGATAATGCACTGAAATTGCCCGACGCGGCGCGGCGCGGCGCGGCGGAGCGAGCGCGCGGGACGCGACCGCGAGGAGAAGGGGAGAGCCAGCGTTACTTTCCAAAGCTCTTATTTTTGTTTCTTCGTTGTGGGGCCCGCCCGCTCTACCTGCGGAGGACAGGTGTGTGTGCGCGCGCGCGCGAGAGCGGATAAGCTAGCCGAGGTGCGGTGGGCTGGCCCAGCCGAACAGGCGCGTCTCTCGGAACGACCGTTGGGCGGCGAGACGACCGCAGGACCTGGCAAACCTAGTACGCAAATAACCAAACGCGTCCTTGGACTTCTGTGCACGCAATGGCCAGCCGGAGAGGCGCACCTTCGACGAAGCCCTTTTTACTGTACCTTTTCTTTTAGACGAATCCGTCCAGTACAATTCACGAGCATACGAAGTCGTGATCTCGATAGTCATGGTACTTCTGAAGAAACCTAACCCCAACAACCGAACACGAAGTCCATTAACGAACATCTGGCGGAAATGCTCACAATTACAATATTTGACCAGTACAACGATACAAAAGCTATTAACTAAGACAAACTGTTAGCTCCCGCAATTCGTTCCTTGAAAGTATTTAAAGTACTATAAAAACACTCAAAAAATATCAATTAAAACAAATTCAATATTTAGCCAAGTGGACGCTGGCCACTGCCTGACGCAATCTGCGTAGTCCTTCCCGGTACTGTTCTCAGGAATAGTCTACGGAACGCGCTTTCCACGAAGTCTACGTCTTACATTCTCGTTGCGAGGCGCAACACCACCTTTCTCTCAATTGCCCGAACTCCGCAGGCGAAGCGCATCGTTCTGTGCCTACACAGGTCTCCGCACGAGATTTTTTCCGCTTCTAGTGATCTCTCCCACTCCTACGAAGAGATAACGCTATTTCTGCCGCGATAATGCGGTCTTTGTTCGCCCCGCCCGCACCCTTAGGATGTACATACACTTTCGATATACACACTGCGACGTGATGACTCGCGCCCATTCATTCGCGCTTATGTTTACATCCTGTTACGACGCGCACATCTGCCTTCGCAACGAGCTGCTTGTGCGTTTCTGGCGTTTGTAAAATATTTGAGGATCGATCATAAAATTATTGTCAGATATTTTATTCTACGAATACGCTCTTGGCGAATCATAAAAAGGCTCCGAAAAAAAATGTTCTTACGATAGTACCGAAGAACAAGAACGAGGCATGAAGTTTTAGTTTTAAATAAATCACTGCTAACAGGATTAACCCGATTGTAGAAATATTGCTAGATATATTTTCCCTCAAGACTAGTTATTTTTCAAAGGAAAGAGCAAATGCAGAGTGATTAACATTACTTCCTGCGAACCTCCCTTTTCGTGAAATTCCGTGGGGGGGTTAATCTTCGCAATGAAAGTTGCGCCGTCGGCAGCTGTGGGCGCGCAGAGCCCCGAGAAAAGGCGCGCGCCCACGCCCTCTGACTCAGCGGCCTCCGCGCAGCGCCTCGGCCGGCGGGCTCGAACCCAGGCCCAGCGCGCGCCTCTCCCAGGCCGCCAGCGTAATTTGAGCGAAGCCAGGGGGAACCCAAGCGAGAAGGAAAGAAAAGACCGTGAGGGGGGAGGAGTCTGGAGCGGGCGGGCACGGGGAAAAAAAAAGAGGCGGGCGGCGCGGGGGCAGCAATTACAGCAGAGCTCGCGTGCGGCAGCGGCGGCGTGGGGCTGGATGGCTCGCTCAACCGCCGCGCCGCGCCGCGCCTCAGCTGAGGCCGAAGTTGCCGCCGCCGCCAGCGACCTTGACCCCCGCGCATTCCAGGGCGGGGAGCATCCGGGAGCCCGCGCCCCGCGCCGTCGCCGCGACGACGGCTGCGGGCGGCGACAGCCCTCATGCGGGCGGCGATGATTCAGCTCCGCGCCCCGGGCGAGCAGCGCCGAGGGCGCACCCGCCCGCGCCACGTGTCCCGCGGCTGCGGGCGCCCGCGTCATGCGCGCGGGAACTTGCGTGACGTAGCGCGCGCTGACGTCAGCGGCGACGGCCAGCGCTCGCGAAAACGACACGCCGCTAGCCAGCGCCTACTCCTGTGCTGCAGGCGTCCCTCGGCGAGGCCCACCGGGCCGCGGATGAGTGTGGATCTAGTCACTGGCGCTCAGCACGTGCACTAGAGGCGCACCCACCCGCGGCCACGGCTCGGCACGACGCACTCCAAGACGCTGGGCACGGCTCCGTCCGTTCCGCTCGCAGCACACGACACGCGCGCACACCGCCCCGGCCGTCGTCGCTTAGAAAGCGTCGCCCCCTGCGGCCGTGGTCTTACGACGACGCGCAGGCGGTCGCCGCTCCAGCGCGATGCGCGGCGTCACCCCGACGCGGCCGGCGGCGCGACTGCAGAGCGGCGGGCGGCCGCTCTCGGCGATGCGACGACGGCGGCGGAGGAGGAGAAGGCGGCCGCGCGCGGCGTCCCGGGCCGCGTCGGCAGGTCGTGCGAACCCCGCCACGCGCCGCCGCGCGTCGTTGTCGACGTTGCGAGCGTGCCGCCACCGCCGCGCCACCGCCGCAGCTGCCGCTCTCATCTAAACGACGCCGCAGCGCCGCCGCGAGATTCGAAAATCTCGCCCGCCGGCCGCGCGCGGCGGCGCGCGTCCGATTGCGCGCGGGCGCCGGGGAGGGTGGCGGCGACGGGCGGCCAATGGCGCGCTCCGCCTGTAATTGCGTGCCGCGGCTGCGGCGCGCGGAACCGGCGCCGGGCGCGGGCGGGCCGCGAGGGGTCGCCTGGCCGAGCGCTCTCCCACCGCGCCTCTCGCCTGCCGAGCCGAGTTCTCGCTCGCTCGCTTCCGCTCGTCCGCTCGCCTGTCCGGCGCGCAGCCCGCGCCTCAGGAGTTGGGCCGTTGGCCGTCCGCGTCACGCTCGCCTGCCCGCGCGCCGCCGCAGTCGTCTCCTCGCCAGCGCCTCGACGACTGTGCGGCAGCAGCGTCTTCGGGCGTGTCCGCGTTGCACGCCGCCTCCTTTATGGCTGTAATAACGCAGGCGCGCTGATGTGCATGTGACGTCAGGAAATTTCCCGTCATTATCGAGAACACGAAAAAAACAATGTGGAAACCTGGAGCGAGGCGTCCGCGTCGGTCTTGGGGAGATGGCGTGGAGTCCAGCGGCTGCGCAGCCCCTTTGAAAGGTGAGGCAAAGGGGAGGCGCGAGGAAGACGCAGGACAAAGCCGCACGACGTCTTTGCACCCCCTAGCGCGACGCCTTCGGAGGCTTTGTCGCGGCCGCTCACCGGACGTTCCACGTCCGCGCTTTCCCACGCGCGAGGCGGAGGGCGCTCGCGTCCCCGCTCCTCTCGCGCCGGTCATCCCGTTGTACCCGCCTCCTTCGCCCAGCCAGCCCCATCCTGCAGCTTACCTGCTCAACGTGCGCGGGCGCCCGTCGGGGCCCCGCGCGTCCAACGCCGCTCCTCCTCCGCTCCGTTCCCATCTGTGTTGCCTCTGTGGGCGCGGCTCTGCCGCGCGGAGAGCGGGAAGCGATCCACGACTGCTTGTGATGCCTGGTCGGGGAAGCATTGCAGAGCCGTAGCGGGCGGAACGCACCGTCTCCACCGCCGGCGCGCGGCGCGCCGCCGCCACCTCTTGAGTGTCACAAAGCCCCGGCGCGGCTGGCGTCGCGCGGCGGCGGCGGCAGCGTCGCACGGCAGCGCAGCTCGGCGGGCGGGCCCCTCTGCGCGGCCGGCGCTGCCGCCTCGGGTGCCCTCACGCACTCGGCGCAAGTTATCCGGCCGCGCGCCGCAGCCTCTGGCCGAGCACCGCCGACGCCGACGCCGCTGCCCTCCCCCCGTCTCCGCCATTTTTATTGGAGAGCGATAGTCTTCCGAGTTCGTACGACGGCCGTGCGTGCGTGGGCGGGCCACGCTTCGCGACGACGCGCATCGGCTGGGGTGGGACGCCGGGGACGGCGGGGCGCTGGATGCGGGCGACGTGGAATCGCTTATTCTGATTTACGAGTTTGCCTATCGTGTCGTGGTTCGCATGATGTCCGCCACTGCGCTCTGGATCTGCGGTTGATGCCGGCTGCGGCAGGCGACGTCGGCGGGTGATGGATGGAGGAGGAGGGGCCTTGGCCTTCTGGAGCGGCCGTCGACGCCCCCCTCCCCCCTCCCTCCGTGCCCTCCTCTGCCCCCACGCGACTGTTGAACCCTGCGGCAGAATTTCGCCTGTTTCTTTGTGTTTGCTGGAAGACTGTTTCGGCCTTGATCGATGTATGACTGACCGCTTGTTTTCAAAATTTGCATCTTTTTATAGGAGTCGTCGTTTTCCGATGCAAAAGTTGTAGTTTTATTTCTTTAGATCGCCAATTTTATTGTTTTATATTACAGGAACATGTTGCTTTGTCTCTGGAGTTTATTTTATTGCGTTCCTTATAAATTAGGCTCAATTGCGATTTATTTGAGATCCTACTTAATAAAGAATATGAAAAGATGCACAATTATCATAGAGTTGATTTAAGCATTAAATAATATTGCATATTTATACGTTCCGATGTAACAGGTGAAACAATTCTTCAATCTCTGTAACTTACAAGAGTTTATAGACCGTGGATTGGAAGTTTGAAATCCGTATTAATTCCGATTTATTTTTTGTTACATTATTGTTCGCAGATATATTTAGTATTGAAAATTGTAACTTTACCTTAGTTTAGAAAACCCACCTCGTAGTTCTTTCCGAAAAAATATTCCGCATTTTTGTCTCATGTTGTGTGTGTGTTTCGTCTCATATGTCAGTGCAAAAACAAATAATAGTAAAAACTGTCGATTTTGAGACGTCGGAAACAGGCTACCCTTTTTTATGACCCCAGCGTCGGATAGTTGTTGCTTCTCATTTTAATCTCTCTAAAACGTACATTTACTCGGGTACACATTTTTTTAATCAGCATTTTTCCAATCCAAATTTAATAATCTTACAGGATTCTCACTTTGTTGGATGTAAGTTAAGACAATGAACAGATCATCCACCTAGTTTTGTCCACTTCTGTATCATTGACGTCAGTGAATAACCTGATATCATTTCGTTGAAAACAAAGGTAAGTGTGCTTCTGAATTGTCCTTTATTTTGTACATTTGTATGTAATCAGCTATGTTAAATAGCTTCTGATTTCTGAGTAATGGACACGTGTATTCACGACCATAGCGTCAAAAATCATAAAATCAGAAACTAGAACACTTTAAATAGAGCTGTCAGATTATTCACGCTATGATAATTATATATATATGACATCTTTTTAAACACAATACAAGATGAGTTCAAATAATTTCGTACGTAATTGTACTTTTCCCCAAACGCCTCATAGTTCTTAACTATTTTTTGGCGTTAAATTGTACGATATTTTCCCCTTTCACATAGACCTACACGGATGGGGCATATGTTGAATCCCTGATAAAAATTACAAATATAATATACACTAGGTACATTTTAAACTTGACAGTGAATTCAAACTTATGGGCACATTATTCTACTGTAGATGG